TTATAGAACACAATTGTTAATGTTAGATATATAGTGAATTTTTGAGATACTACGACCCATATTCTTTTGGCCGGCAGCTGGGAATTTTCTGGACATAAGGATATCCCAAATCTCATGTACTTTTAGCGAAATGACAATCATTTCCTTTTTTGGGCTTGTATCACTTGCAAAATAAGGAAATCCTGTCTAAAGCGGCCAATCAAATCATAAAATCTTGATGATCGCCGGCGAAGCAAACAAGAAATAAGAAAAACGGCAGTCTAAACCTACCTTGGGTAGGTTAATTAAAAATTTCGGGAAGGCTATTTTGCTTATATATAACTATCTAAAAACCCAACCTAACCCTAATATAAGATGGCCCTAACCCTAAAATTAATTCAACAAAATATATTATAAAGAATCTACACCGCTTTAGACGTCCCCTTTATTTGAGACGGTCTCTCCTGTTATAAATAATAGATTCGGACCCGGATCGGGTCCGGATCTTTTTCGGAACTTTATGCAGAATCTATTGTAGTTCAATAATGCTAGCTGAGTTTTTCATAGTGCTGGTACTATATATCACATGTATTGTAGTTTGTAAAATGGAATTTTCAACCCTAACAGAAACACGTGATCTAATTTCTTAATTCTGTCATATTCTAAAACTAACCTTAACGATAATGCTAGCCATGCGGGTTAGTGCTGGTAATTAGCTGTGTCGATAAGGCTGTATCTGTAGCTTTTCCCTTAAATTTGATCGTAAAGATCATATGACGAACAACACTACTTAGGCAATTTTTGAGGAAAATAATAATTATACGTATGAAAACTAGCACGTAGTGTTCTTTTATTCTAGTCAATATAGATTAAAATTGCTCCATAGTTCCAGGCAGAATTATGTTGGTAGTGGGCCGGAATGATTTTAATGCCGCCAAATTAAACGGTTAAACGATTACAGCTGTTCTCAAAAATTCAGGGACAATTGATAAAAATTGATTGGCTAAATTCGATAAGTTATTGAATTCGGTGTTATTCCTGTAATGTCGAGAAAATCCAATTTCACCGTCTTAAAAAACTTATCGAATTCGGCCGATCAATTTTTATCAGTTGTCCCAAAATTTATGAGAACAGCTATAAATGATTAAGAAAATTTTTAGGCGGTTCCAATCCCTACTAGTCAAGGGTGTGGCTTAATAAAATTTGGAGGAATTGTACAATAATAGACAGTTTAAGGGATAGTAAAGTTAATGATTCGTAAACGACAGATCAAAGCTCTGATACTGAAACTGGACATCAAAATCTAATCTTAAAACTCAAATTAGGGTGGATCTAAGGAATCTCCAGAAAAGAGTTTGATAAAAAACTTGGATTTTTGTAGGCAAAAAAGGGTTGCTTAAAGCATACTTTATTAGTAAAATGTGCATGCATTATTCGTAGATCAATAAAACATTAATATACAACTTTTATACTCATTCGACCTAATATTGGCCGAATTTTTAAAATAAAATCGTGCAAGACGTATAAATAATTTTACATCGATAATGACGCAAAATGAAGACTCTAAATTTAGATAATTATTTAATAATTAATGATCTAAATACAAAATTCCTGATTTTTATTCGGTGCCCATTATATAGTCGTCACAGAAAGTAATGATCCATTTTTCTAAGAAAAATTGAACATTAGTTTTTGTGACAACCGTATATATTTTAAAACGTGGAAGGTATCACCCTGGATTATAAGGTGGTTGAAATTGTGATAATTGTAATTAAATGTAAAATCGTAATTAAATTATTCTTAAGTTACATGTGCGTATGTAGAGTGTATCTAGAAAATTTTTATAAAATTCAAAAATGTATCACTTTTGTAAATCACTAAAAATAGATATAAAAATACATACCAAAAAGTCCTTCACAATAATTCCAATTCCACTATTAAATTTATTATCATACAAATTGTATAAAGCGAAATTAAATAATATCCCCAGGCGCGGGACATACGATACTCATTTCGGGGCAGGTAGACGAGGGCGGAAAACAATGCTATCAGTAAGCTAGATGATGATACAAATAATGTTGGCTCAACGTCAATTTTGTACGGGATGCCAGTTTTGGCTGTCACATAAGTACCACTCAAGCCAATGCCTAAAAGAATATCTATATTATTGCATGAACATTAATGAGCTCATTAAATCATAAAAATTGTTGAACCAAAACTTGTAAACAAGATATTAATGAAACATACTCAACATTGGACCACCAAAGCATGCACTTATAGCCATCATAGGTCTCCCCGTTTTTGCGATAGTGATATTGGCAACAAAATCACCAAGGCTACTACCCTTTAAATAAGGAATATAAGATATATTATCAAATAAATTATTTGAAATGACAACACCCATAATAACAAATGTGAGGGACCAACATAAGGTTGGTCTCAACGTGAGATTTAATTAGTATTTTAATGATTACTAATAATCAGCGGACTTTAAATACTAATTGACCGCAGGTTGGACCAATCTCATCTTGGTCCCTCACAATTAATTTAAACATTCCAACAAACCATTGCGAATATAGTTAGGCCAAGAATAGCATCACTTAATCCCATAATTAAACCCAAAGCCTACGGCAAAAAAAAAAATCTATATAAATAAATGAATAAAAAATAAAATGCATATAGCACAGCACCTCACCTGTAACAAACCAACAACTTCGTTAGCTAAGAGATAAACCCACACAATCGCAACACCAAATCCCATAAAGCTTAGTGCTGAATAAAACTTGGGAGGTTCATCATCGCTCGTAGTAAAAATGCAAAACATGGATAATAAGATACCAACAATAAATGCGTATAATATGAAAATAGGTGACTCATCGCCTGTAATCAATAAGTCGTGAAAATATTAGACGAATATAATAATTAGCAGATTTCTAAAAAAAAAAAAAAAAAAGACACTAACTGAGTAAAACCGTTGAGACAAACAAAGGTGCAAAAAAAAATTGAACTACAGTTAGCCAACGATTCCACCCGGTAGGGCATTTGTTTTCAGGTTCATCAACTATAACTAAATCATGATCATCGTTGACAACAATGGAAGGAGTGTCAATATGTTGTGATTGATTATTCTTTTGTTCTTCTTGTAAGGGTATATCATCAACTTCCACAACAGGAAGTGTAAGCTTAAGTACAAGTATCATTGGAAGTGCCATCAAAGCGGTGAGTTTTGCAACGAATGACTTTTCAAAGAAACCTGTAAGGGATGGAAAAAGAGTGGATTGTATTTCTTTCCAAATAGTTATCGGAGGTGGTGTCTGTAATGGCTTTAACATTGGAGATGATGCTGTTGTGACTATAGGAGAATGCATAGGTGACGAATGTATTGACATATCAGTTAAAAGATGTTGATTGGTTTCTGCTGATGGAGAAGGTGTTTGGAAAGTTTCGTGTGAAGGAGAAATGTTTAATGGGGACATGTTTAACGGTGAAGAAAATATTTGGACTGGTGGTGATAAAGACGATGACCTCCTGTGAGGGATTCGTGGAATCTCCAAGAACAGTGGCGTATTGGGCACACTCAATGTGTTTGGAGCGAGATGTGTAGAAGAGTTATGCGTTAAATCTGAAGTTCCTTCAATACTGGTCCACGCTCTCCTAGTTCTGTGTGAATGATCATTATTTGGCCAACTTGAAAGCATTGTTCTATTTCGTCCCGGTGATCTCATATTGCTACTCAATTTGATAGAATTAACCACATCTCGATACTATGAAAATTAAATAGTAGAAAAAATTATCACAATAATATACATACCAATTAACATAATAAAAAAAAAACAATAGAATAGTAAACCGTCCACCCTATACCTCTATCGCTCTGACCAACGAAGGCCTACGATTAATTGTCATTGGCCTTGTAGAACTACCATGCTGGTGATGTTTAGATTGGTCTATATCATTTGTGGGTAGAAATGAATTTTGCGAGTAACTCTCGAAATGGTCATACGGTAACAAAGGTGTCAATGATATTGGTTGAATTGTTTGATTCGTATAATCAGGGCCGCGTTCACCTTCTGGTAACAAAAGATCGGTCTCAACGTAGGAATCATAACCGTAGACATCTCGATTTTCTGAAGGAATATTAATAATAAACATATGACTCAGAAAAATAACTAGACCATTTATGATATCTATAACTTTTACCAAATTCTTCAGGCGTTTTAAAGACTTCATTTCCTGTTATAGAGTGGGCAAATTCCTCTCTATCCTTTTGTTCCAACCATCTTCTTTTTTTTCGCTGTTTTACAATCCAATTTCCTAAAACCACTACAGTAACATAGGTAACATAGAGTAATACCAAGGTTATACTCTCCCACAAATAAATGTACCCATCCCAAATAATAGCAAGAGTAAATGCAATCGCTGTAGAAAAAAAAAACACGTCTCGGAGGAACGGAGCTTTTTTAACACGAAACGGAGCTATAACTGCCATGGAACCGGCAACTATAGACGTTATAAAGTTTGCGGCTCCGATAAGCTCTCCGATAGCTAAAGGACCAGAATCGTGTGTCATTGCGCTAAAGGTACTAAAAAGATCCGGTGACCCATTACCGAATGCCAGGAAAGTTACCCCAGCCTTGTTATTCAATGGGTGAAGTAAATATTGCGAACCAACTTAGTAATTAGAACCTATAATATTTTTAACATTTACCATACTTTCGGAAAGTTTCAATTTTAATGCAATTGTGCCTAGATTTGGGCAAAAAAAATCAGAAGCTGCGACACTAACGAAGCCGAACAAGAAAAGGAGCCATATAAACTGATTATTATTTTGTATCATAATGAATAAATAAATAAGCATGCCGGTATGTCAAAAAATAAGTGAAATGATATCATATTCTTTACCAGAATGGATACTGCGATAATGCTCCAGTTTCGTGAAATACAAAAATAATACTGAAGATAATTGATTATGCTGGATGAGTAGTCTTGACAATGTGATTTAACAAATTCGCATTTATCTTCATGGTTATATATATTATCGCACTGGATGATTTGATAATTTAGTTGCTTTAATAAAAATGTATAATCCGCGTAATTAAAAAATCTACAATTATCTGGCGAAACAATATCATATATCCACGAATCAGTGTTAATACAATCCAACCTTATAACATTATGAACATTATCTCGTAATATTCAATATATTGACAATTCCCTTCGAAAACTATCTTTTGCATTATTATATAAATTCTGCCTACCTCGGTAGATAGAAGCTTAAAATCAGGAATGCTGTCGCGAATACTCGAATTCCCTTCGGTAGTAAGTTCGTCAATTCTTGATAGTTTTCCACGTAAAAAATTTCTATTATCGTTTATAAAAAATGGCGTTGCTTTAATTCGTTTGTTTTTCACACGTTGCTTCCACAGGAAACCAACAGTGTTGAAAAAAAGAAATACACAAAGCAATAGCAGATAATTTTTGCGATTCATTGAAACAACGAGTTATCGATTGAATAAAATTCATCGTGATGAAAACCAGTAAACAGTAAAAGGAAACAAAATCCAAATAGGTAAACCACTAAATTGGCGTTTGGTGGCTGAGTACCGTACGTATAACTGTACATTTTTTTTTTGTTAAAAAAAAAGGTCTTGTTTGTTTTTTTAAAGAAGTCACTTTTTCAAAAATATATATTTTATTGTAAAATTTTATTAAATAGATATGGGAGTTCTTTCACATGAATAGATATATACTGTATGTGGTCAGGTAAAACCAGTTTTAATAAGTTTAATATATGAAAAACACAGTAAAACAGACTCCAAACTTTATAAGGTAGAGTTCCTGACGGGTCAGGTTGGGTTAAGTTTAGCCCCAATCACAACCGGATTCAAACCCGACCCAGCTCTGTCCCATTTGAATCAACTTAGCGTTAGATTTTGATTAATAGATTTTATATATGCAAAGTAAAACCTGTAACTAATATAATTATTTAGTTTACGGATTTTTACTTGTATATATTTTAGTTTTAAACTCAAACTAAACTATTAGCGTTAAATACGTAAAATATCATGTAAAAACCTAATTTAAAGAGACTATAGCCATACGTATAAGTTCCTGATAGGCTAAAAATCATACAGTATAAACATACGTATTAAATAAATATTTTACAGTACGGGACAGCATTGCTCCAAATTTGATTAGGACACTATAAAGCAACCACTTTTATATATAAAACAGGCGCCAAATGGCCAATTTAACTTATTATAATATCAGGTGGTTGAGATTAATGTTGTTAGGTGAAATTGCTTTGAGCTTGTAGAAATATTTCGACATTTGAAATTTAGTCTGCCGAAATTCTAAAATAATGCCGAAATTCTAAATTATGCCGAAATGTCTAACTAATGTCAAAATGTCTAAATTAAAAAAATATATAAACCTATTTATTAGCAAGTACCCGAACTTGTTTTTTTGTGAATTGCATAATTGGTTAAACCAATCTTAAAAATTAAAAAAAAAACTTTTACTAAGTTAAAGGTTTCTTCTATTTCTAAGTAAGGTTATAGAGAAGGTTTTTCTGATTCTAGTAGTGGTTAGATCATCAAAAATCGGCTTAGTGGATCTCATAATATTTGGAATTAACAGTTCTTTAAAATGTTGTTTATAATAAAAATTATAGTAAAAACTTATAAATTTACTATAAACTTTAAGCTGAAGATCCTTTTCAACTTAACTAACTTAAAATTAAATTTTGTGATTATATACAGATCTTTTTTTGCATAATTTCCTATATAAAAATTGAGTTGTATACAAAAGAAACTTGTAACAAGTTTTTAGTGATTTTCTCTGCTAAGTTAATATTTGTTTTCTTTTTTATTTTTTATTTTTTATTTTTTTTTAGTTAAAGTTCCTATCTTGGGAGTTGCAATGTTTTTATTCAAGTATATTAGGACATGGCATGTCACCAGGGGTTCATCTTACATTGGAGGTTACAACTAGTCACACATGCACTTTTGGTACCTAATTTAAGTAGTCTGCTTACACATTACTATATAAGTTCTATACTAGTTGTTATACCTGCAA